CCTCTAATGTCATCTTTCTGTTCTGAAAAAGGATCTTTTAACTCGTTTGGTGCAATTTGCTGTGTTCGAAGTTCATTTATTATTGACGTACTGTCATTAGCTTTATTTGAAATTTTTTTATTCATAATCAACAACTCTTCATATAACATATTGAATTGTTTGCTATTTCGCTCTTCAAATTCAAAAAAGATCTAAATATATAAATAATCTTTAGTTGCATAATAAGTAGATAACAGAGTAATTAATTATTATTATAATTAAATTGTTTGAATACCTTTTTTATTTCATCAAGATCTTCTTTCAGATGTTTCTGGTCATTTATTCTTTGCTCATCACTCGATATGGCCATTGTAAAATTTAAATCTTTCATCACTCTATCAAAGTCATTTTGTGTGAATTTTTCCGAAACTAAGTTTGCTTTAAAAAATTTTTTAAATCCTTAAAGTTGTGTAACATCTATGGCAAAATCTTTAATTTCTTGCAATACCATCTCAAACCTAAGGAAAGCATGATAATATTCTTTTTTGCGAAAATTTTCTTCATTTTCTTGCTTTTTTTTGTTTAATGATTTAAGCGCAAGTTCAGCACTTTGCGCACGATCTAACAATGCACTACAAATTTTTTTATTGCATTGAGCTGTATCATAAATTTTAATAATTTCAGAAATAAGATCAGTTATTCCTGATATTAAGGAACCAAAAGGTGTTACATTGGCGGCCACATTGATAACTTTGAGAGCTCCTTGCATAATATCTAAACCCGAATATTCAATCTGTGACATTATGAATAAAATTTCAAGTCCTCTCTTTATAGCGATAATGATAATTTTTGACTAAAATCTAAATTAGAATTAGTATATTTTTCCGTTGCAATGCAGTTAAAAAAGTTTAAATAGCATATAACAGTGATACATACTGTACGTATATAATTTTGGTAATAGGTAATGTATGTCTTGGTAACACTTATTGTTATATCGTTATCGTTATGCTATTAGATTAGATTGATAAAAGAAGCACATTTCTGTTAGATTTATTAGCGTTAGGTCATATTAATAACGAAGCTACAAAACAAGAAAATTGTTGCATTATTTTAACATGACTGTTTAAGCAATGTATTATTTAGGGATATTTATTATAAAGATGAAAAAAAAATGAGGAACTTGGTAGCAAATAAAGGATATGAAAAAGTGATTAAGTTATTATTTCATTCTTAAATATTTTCACAAATAAATTTATTTATACTATATCTATAAATAATATTATCTTATATTGACAAGAATAATATTTCATTTTTTAAATACTTTCATATATAGGTGTATACTTGTCGTTTAACGCTTTAATTTCTTTGAAAATAAATATATAACTTTGAATGAAAAACAGATCGAGATCCTCAACGACTAGTGCTTAAAAATCAAAATTTAGTCAAAACGAAAGAATCAAGAAAAGGAACCTATGAGACGCGAATGAGAAGTTAATGCTGGAATTATTGGCTTGAAAGAGTAAATATTTATTTTATTTTTTTATTAAGTCATTAATATTCAATATTAATACTTGATCTTTTTTTAAAAAGAGAAAATCCTAAAAAAAGCGGAAATATAAAAAAATGAAAAAATAGCGCTTTTTTATGGGTCATGCCAAGAAACATTCTTTTTATTCGGTACTCGATCATAAAACAATCAAGTACAGGTGACAATTGATGCAAAATTTTTGGTTAGCAAATATATATGAAAAGATTTAGATTTTAAAAATGAATTTTTCATTATTACGATACTTATTCGGACAATGAAACTTGTTATTACAGTATTATAGAAAGCAGCATTTGAAAACGATTTTGAACTGGTAGGATGGTACCAATTAAATGTAATTACATCTGCTACATGTTTTACTTGTGTATGCTTCTAAAGCAGATGTTGTTACAACTTTGCTAAATTCCTCCATTTTAGATATTAATCGCTTCCTAAACATAGCATGTTGTCGAGGCGAGAGTTAATTAAAGTATGTGTCACTCTAAATTCTTGCCCAGACAGCTTGATTTGTTGATTTCGCACTCGTAATCCTTACTACGTTCGCTCCGGTCTCAACACCTTGTCCCTTTTACTCAAC